CACTATCACTCCACCGGCGGCTACCTCACGATACAGGAGGCGCCATGGCACACTCCACTGGCAGCCGCTTTCGTTCAGGCGGGAGTCGAAATGGGGTACGTATGTTTTGCGGATCCTCCGCTCATACCAAATGTAAACAAGCTGTTCGTGTAGCGATAACGCCACAGTCTGTTATCCGGGAGGTTCCCGGTTAGATTCTTTGCCATATTACCTTACAAGAAACAGCGATCTCATGATCACTTTTCCACCTCATTCGACAATATATCAACAAGGAAAATCCACATATCTCGGGTTCTTGGCGATGGTACACGTGGAAGAATATACAGACACAGAAATTTGACTGCCCAATTACGTGTTCGTTTTATGCACTTTATGCAAACAATGCATAAAACTGTGTATCCAGTGTCAGTTACAGTGAAGAACTGAAACACGGATTACGTTTTGTAAATCAGTGAAACTTGTGTAATTGTGATCTCTTTTGATCTCCTGGATAATGTAACAGCCCGTAATTGATGACTGTTCATAGCCAACAGCTACATAACACTTTAAAAACGAAATGTAAAGAAAGTAAACGCAAAGAGTTGTTTCGCTTTGAAGTTAAAATAATTTACAAAGTTATCTCAGAAGTTATGTGTCTAGCGATAAAACTGTGTTTGCAGAAGCCTGCAAAAACAGACACACATGCGCGCGAGCTACTGTAAAGGTTACTTCAGCAACATACGAATAAACTAAGGTGAATTTCTTCTAAAACAATAATCGGGTTATGACACGCTTTATGTTTTTTTTTTTTTTTTTTTATTTTCACCTCCTACCGTTCGCATCTTCTTGCATTACACGTCATATCGGCTGAAGTAAGCCATTTCCCAGAAAAATAATTTCTTTTTTACTCGGAGATACGGGACGACGTGACAGAACAAGAATGCACGTAGTGAGTCAACATCATAACCAATTCCTTACATAACCCAAATATATTTCCACCTATGCTTTGGTTACCCGTACGATGTGTGTGGCAAATGTTACGAAGATGTGTTGAATGGTTCAAGGGAGGGAGAGACAGAAACACGTGGACATGATGATAGCAGAAGTTCTAAATTTACCTTGAAATAGCGCAACTGGGCAAGTAAACAGATGCTATTTTGAAGATATCCGTCTTCTGGGTTATTGCGCTGTGTAGTCTGGTCGATGTTAACCAACGTTTCAGAGGTCATACTGCCTCCGTCATCAGGGCTATTGGCATATTCATCGCCCTGATGACGGAGGCAGTATGACCTCTGAAACGTTGGTTAACATCGACCAGACTACACAGCGCAATAACCCAGAAGACGGATATCTTCATACTCACCGCTGTGAGAACCTCAAGTCTTACACAGATGCTATTTTCTCTTCTCCAATGCGTCCAAACCGCCTCTGGCCCTACCCGGACCCCATCCAATGGGTAAAACACCGAGGTGTGAAATCAATCAGTCGCCTCCATCTAGTGTCAAGATTAAGAATGTGCGGAACTTTCCTTCCACTCCTTCACACGCCTTCTGGGCGTGATGCGAGGACAGTTCGCAGGACGAACGCAATTGTGTGGAAAGTTTGGATACGTTGCAGGTACGACAACCGAGACATCAATGGCGAGTTCCAAACTGGCTTCATGATCGCGCAGGGAACCACAAGACGAGGGTCACGCTGCAGCACGGGCAA